ATGGGAATGTAAACTAGTGCAACTACTATGAACATCAGTACACAGATTACTTAAAAATAAAAAACAACTAGAAATTTCATTGGACTAGGCCATTGGCCTTCTAGGTATCTTCCCCAAAGATTAAAGAAATCATATTTCAGTGATATATGTATACTCATGTTTATAGCAGCACAACTCATAATAGCTAAATTTTGGAAGTGGCCTCTACATCCCTTAACAGATAAATGGAAAGAATACGTGATATTTATACACAGTGGAATGGTCTGCCATTAAGAAGGATATTATATTTGAGTCATGTGTAGGAAAATGAATGTACCTTGAAACACTAATATTAAGTAAGGTAAATCAGACATAAGAAACTCAAATCATAAATAATTGAAAGAGAAAAATAAAAGGTAGATGTAGGGAAGGGGTAGGGAGGGAAGAGGAAGTAAAAAGTATTATTAAGATGTATTATGTACATGTACCAAATTGTCTTGATGAATGTAATCATCACATATAGTAAACAAGTACCAATAAAATTTTAAAAATATATGTTGAATTGGATAAATGAAAATGTAGTGCACTATTAAGAAAGAATAAACTACAAAGACAATTATGTTATCTTATTAAGTGCTCAATTTCAGTACATAATAAATGGAACTAAGGGAAACAGAAGTTAATGAAGAAGAAAAATAATCAAAGCTTCTGTTTCCTCATTTGATTAAAATAAAAACAAACCTAGTAATGACACTAAGCAAAAGCTAAGACAAGATGAAACTAATATTAAAACTAACATACATATAAGGTTAAGAGGATAAAAATAGAAAAGGAGCTTATGACAATCTGAAATCAAGAAATTATGCTTCTAGTTTTGAATGATAGGTACAACAGATAAATATATGCTAGATTCTCCATTAGTATTATGATGTTGTTGTGCCAAAATAAGATTCATATAATAATTAAAAGTATGAAATAATTCATAGACCAACAGAGATACAAAATTATAGGTAGAATGTGGAATATAGTTAAACATTAAAGAAATGCAACATGAACAAGTAGATTGATTTCAGATATTAATATAATGTATGGTTGGACTATTTATATAAATTACCACATGAATACAACATCTATGGTGAAATTTAATAAAATACAAAACGAATGCTGACTTTTAAAACATAAATTTTTTATGGAGAAAACTGACAAAAATACTTCTAACACTACATAGTATGTATCTTTAATAACTAATGAAATCACACTATAAACATTAGGATATTCTCTAATTATAGGACATAGAGTACACCTTACTTCCAAAGTTGATGTTATTGTTCTAAACCTAAAAACAATATCATAACAAAAAGTAAACAAAAATAAGCAAAATAGGAACATTTTAATATGAAATATAAATATTAATATTAAGTAATTATACATATAAATATTAAGGGTATTATAAATATGAATTTTATACATTAAATATATTAAAATATATAAATATATATATAAAGTAGGCTGAGAAAAAATCTTTATTAGTTTATTATTTATTTCTTGCCTTTTTAGAAAAATTTTATAGTAAATTAAAAAATAAATAGAATTAACGTAAATTTAGTAAGAAAGTGATTATAAGCACATATATTAACAATATATAAACACATATAATGTAAAAACATTTTAAATTATAAAACAATCTATGCCAAAAACATAAACCAGTAAGAATGTGATTTTAAAAAGTAAAAGTATGGTCATGTTCTCAGGAGAAAACATTTCAAATTTAATGACCCACATCCTCCTCAAATTAATACGTTAATATTTATTTACAGCAAAAATGCTAAAGCGATTATTCGGGATAGTTTGTATAAAATATAAGAAATTTATAATAAAGTTCAAAAGAGGGAATGCAGATGATAGCTAACTAAGAAAAGATATGAAATCAATGAATATATAATGTACTATATTTGTGTCCATTAATATCTATATATTCATATATGGTGTCTTGATTCAATTTATGTTTCTAAAATTATATATTATAAACGTATGTTTATATATATCACGATCTATATACTAACAATAATATAGCATAATATATGTTACAAAAGGGGCAATCTAAACATAGAGGGAAGGTTTAAATACAAAAACATTACAGGAAAAAGCACATTGTCATTAATCCCCGCAAAATATCCCCCTTGCTTCAAACACACTTAGCCTACCATCCTTGTCACTTTTTAAAGTAATTATAGAAGTCCTCTTTTGTTATTGTTTTATAAGATATGATAAAAAATAAGGTCAGCACTGCTATGCAGTGTCATCCAACAGAAAGCAGGCTCAATGTAAACTAGATATACTGCAAACATATACTAACAAAAATAAATTTTAAAAATATTTTGATGGCTTTTTATTCACCATTTTTAACAGGTTTGTCATCTTGTGACTTCTGGTTCTTCCACAGATTCAAAATGACTATGAAATGTGAACATTTTCAAACAATTCATAAAGGAAGCCATGAAAATACATCTGAAGACTCTCATGAAAAAGAATATCTGGAACTGCTTCAAAAGGTGGAAAGATTGGGGGATACCCAAGTTCAAAGTGAGGGAGAGTATTTTGAAAGGGATTAATTGGAACGTGTCTTTTACAATAATAATTTTTATTTAAACATACACAGTATTGAAACTGCACATTTTCCGATCTATCTATGTATCTATCTATCTGAATGATTTAGAAACTATAATCTATAATTTTAAATATATTGTAGAAATTAGTGAAGTTTAAAGGAGCCCAATCCCTGTGAAAGCTTAAAGAAAAATAAGTAGCTACAAATACATTAATACAACATTCATGTAACAAAATGACATTCATGTATTCAATTAGGAGAAAGAGGAAGTCAGCAAGACGTTGGAATAAATTTTCCAGCACCAGTCCCCCCACAGACATATCAGTTTAAATAATAAAAATAATGAGTTTAATCAATGAAAATAGCTTCACAACAGCTAAAGAAATAGAGATTCCAGCATCTGGATGTTGCGTAAAAATAAGAGAAGGCACCTTGTAAAGAGTAGGGATGATGTGTTACATCATCTATGTCATCCTTTCCCCATCAGCAAGTAGCAAAGCATGAAGAGAAATATCACCAAGTAGGCAGACTCTCACTGCCTCTGACTGCAGGGCAGGACCCTGGGTCCCCAGGCCTGAATTGGAGCAGGCTGGACTGCAGACATCCAGACTTGCCAGGTGTGACAGTCTTCAATCTGACATTGCCGAGCGTACCCCAGCATTAATGAGATTGAGAAATTTGCATTCATATAGTGTTCCAAGATTTTTGGAGGATGATCTGGCAATAGGAAACTGACATGTATATTAGTTTTTAGTCTAGGGAGTATATTTCTAAGTGTTCAGCCTGAAAAAACTTTTGTGTCCATGAAGTGTACATACAATGATGTTCAAAGTTAGCTTTTTGCAATTTTGGGAAACTATAAACATAAACATTCATAAATTGAATTATTTAATAAAAATTACCAGGTACTAGTTACATTTAATTTAGTTTGATAGTTTGCATTAGTGGAATGCTCTACAGCTATACAAAATGCTTATTAATAATTGAGGTGAGAAATTATTTGTTTTTTAACATTGTTCTATTCTAGTAGCTGTATACACACATTAACATATATTAAGAAAAAATAGGTTTTTAAAAGTCATTCATTGTAATTAAGTTGGATAGAGCAATCAATTTAATATTTATTTAATATAGTCACTCTGTAGTAAGCTTAAGGATACAATAATGAATGAAACAGCCAAAATCCTGGCATTAATATATATCTCAGTGGAAAGAAACACAAAGCAATAGCATAAGCGATTTCAAGAACAGTGAATAAACACTGTTTGGAATAATGTGCACAATGAAATATTTTCAATGAGATTGGCATTGATATTTCTCCATGTGGGTAAATTTTGAGCTGAAATCTAATTATGACTAGAATGCAGGCATATAAAAAATAATATGAATGTGAACTGCAACTCAGGCAAAGGAAAAACACATTCAAAGTCACTTAGTTGGGTTAGGTCTTGGCATATTTGGAGCACAGATTTTGAAAAGGGCAATTTGGCTGGCAATGACCAAAACAAACAAACAAAAGTAAATAAAAGGGAAAAAAAAGTGGATAAAAAGAAAACTCAATGGGTCCCTTTAAATAGAGATTTGCATTGTAGTCTAATTGTACTGAAATCCTTGCATAGGACCAACTTACTACATTTAAACAAGGATTGCTCTGAGAACATTGACAAATGGACTTCAGGGAAAGGAGAAGTAGGGAGACCACACTACAATCATTTGTTCTTGTCTGGGCAGAATGTGTTATTAAGTTTGCTTAGAGCCATGCCCCCTGAAAATGAAAAGGGGTGGTGCCTGCCACCCTGACCATCTGTTATGTAGAATCTGGAGACATTTTTTCTTGTCATCCTGAGGCATAGTGGTTGGGAGTGCTTTTGGCATCTAGTGGATAGTCCAGATGCGGTCAAACACTCTACAACTCATAGGACAAAACTCTACCCGAAACAAATAATTTTTAGCACTGGATATGCTTGAAGAGTAGAATAGAGTAGAATACACACACACACACACACACACACACACAAACACACACACACACATTAGGTTTCTGTTTTGTATGGAGAGAGCACCAGTCTATTTGTCAATTAACGGTGATGACTAAAATTCTAGAGCAACAGAAATTTAAAATAAATCTAGGGGTGTAGACCAGTAGTTAAGTAATTGCTTAGTGTGAACATAGCTCTGAGTTTGATCCCAATATCACAAAAAAATCCTTAAATATATTAAAATGTTGTCTTTTTTTATCCACCCAGCCTAATTTTTTTATTTTTTTTGGTTCCAGGGATCGAACTCAGGACCTTCTGCTTGCGAGGCAGGCAGCAGAACCACTGAGCTAAATCCCCAGCCCAACTTACTGTTATATTAAAAAGAATATTTACTCAATTATCACCCTGTAAAAAATAAAGAAAAACCTACTCACTTGCCATTCAGTGCTGCTACACCAACCGTGCTCCGAGCGATCGACATACTGGCCACAAATGTCCACTGCTGGCTCTGAGGATCCCACCTCTCCACTGTGTTCAGATAGCTCCAGCCATCATGGCCTCCAACAGCATAAATAGGCCCTTCAAGCACTGTCACACCTGAAACATTGGAGAAGTTGACATTGTGCTTACAGTTATCAATATCAGAGTGTATCCTTAAAAATCTGTTAAGAGGATATATCTCATGCATGTGTTCTTATCACAATAAAATAAAAATCAAATTTGAATATGCTAAATGAATTTCATTCACAAAGATCTCTTTAAAATCAAATTAACAATACAAACTACTATTTCATTGAGCATAGATTCCAGTTAGTAAATAATTGCAATAAGGTACAAACCACTATTGAACACATCATTCCAGTAAAGTGAAAACAAAATTTAGACCCAAAAATAAATTTTATCACCTTTGTGCCTTATGAAAGAAATTTGAATCTATTATTTATATGACCAAATGCAAAAGCAAATCTTAAAATCAAAGATGATATATTCTTGTGCCTCAGTTTTGAAACTAATTTCTGCAGTAAAGTTTACTTCCTCATTTTAGGCAATGGTACATTAAAATCAATGAAATATCAGTTTGAATTTCAAGGGGCTGTGTCTTGTGTTTTGCCTTCCTAATAACATCATAATAAACTTACCTGTAACTTAGAGAATATGACATCAATCATATTATTAATGGAAATCATTAAACAAAAGCAATTACAACCAACAAAATTAATAGTGAGATATCAGTGGGAGAATAGAATATAATTTATTTTTAAATTTTCTACTAAATTCACTTCTTCAGAGATGACTTTTCCTAAATCCTGAAGAGTTGCTAAATATTTAAATCACACATTACTATTAACTGAATTGATCTCTTTTTCTGCAAAGAAATTCTATTGACTATCTCCCCCAAAATAAAAAAAATTCAATATCTGATTTTCAACAACTCAGAAGTATCTGTGATGTTACTACACTTCCAAGGTGACAAGTTTATGCTTATTGATAGAGACATGATTCCCGGGTCAAAGAGGAAAGGCATTTTAGTATTTATAGAAACAGTAGTAGTCAAAGCATCACTAATTTTTGAGATTTTTGCTTTGGCTTTTTGCTGGCTCCTCAATCTCCAGTTCCCATGGGGTGAGCAAGATGACATTCAATATCCCCCCCTCTCAACTAAACTCTAGACAGCTTCTTCCTGCTTTTAGTGCACTGAGCAAATCATTTAACTGGCTCTTTGAGATGTAAGTCTTTTGAGTACAAGGAGAACAATGAAGGAGGGATGGAAGGTGGCACAGGGATAAATCTCTTCCAGACAGGAAGGGATCCAAGAGAACTCCAGTGAGAGGAGAGGGAGAGGGGAAGGGGAAGTAAGCAGAATAAAGATATGCCATGTATAGGAACCTAATAACCTCAATGAATGTAAAAATTATAGATCAAGAACATGAGATAAGATTAATAATATCAACAAAAATGAAAATGTGGAAAGGGGATTTAGAGGAGGTGGGATCGATAGCAAAGGGGATCTAAAAAAAAGAACAAAGCTCTTTCATGTACATGTAGCCGCTCTCCAAGGTGATTGTAAACTTCATTACTGCAAACACGCACTAATAAGAAGATTTAAAACAACAAAACTTCGTGCCAGTTTTACAAAATAAGATTATATTAAGGATTTGAGAGGCATCATTTTGAAATGTAATTATCAAGAAATATAGTATCCCATTTCCTATTCTCTCTGGAGGGGTAGGAGCCTAACTTTAGTTAGCACCTTGCTCCAAATTATAAATGTAGCTATAGATATGAGGATAGAAAAAAGTTTACTTTTCTTTTAATGACATTTAGAAAATAGTTTATTTAGGACCACTCCCCTACCCACTTACCACAGTTCTGACAAACTACAGTTTTTATTTTATTTTACTTTAGCAGAATTTAGTTGAGCCACATTCTTGCCCCTTTTTGTATTGGAATAACATTCAGCAAAACCTTTATTACTACCTCTTTACCTGGCATAATTTCTGTTCTGAAGAAAGTCACCAACAACCAGAATTTAGCTCTAAGTCAGAAGAAGAGAAAGCAAAGAAACGTGGCAAGAATTGGAGAGAAAATCAAGAAAGTTTTGGTATCTGGAAACCAAGAGTTATAGAGTGTTTCTCGGAGGGAGGAATAACAATTCATTTCTAAATTTCTGACCAAGAACATGCTTCTATTCGTTTTGGAAATCATGAAGCAATTTCTATCACAGGAAAATAAATACATTTATTATGGCCATAAAACATATATGCCAATTATTATGAAAGGAGATGTTATCTATACCACTTTTTAAACACATACCTGCCTTTTACTTTGGAGAAAAGAATTCTGTCCTTCTAGTATTTTTCTATAATAAAATCCTTTCAAGTATAGCCAAGAACAAAGAGCAGTGACTTAACTTAAAAATGTGCAGAAATGTGAGACCAAGGAGAAATGTTTCCCTGCATCAATATGAAAAGTAGCAAAACATCTGATTTATGTATTCACTCATTTTATCAATGTTAATTGAATGACAATTTTGTGTCAGGAATTAATCTAGGCATCAATGACATAGTGGTGAACAAAGTACACAAAGTTCTTGTTCTCATTGAAATGTATATATTAATCAATGTTTAGCTAAAATGGAATAAGTACATTATCCAAAATAAATATGTCTGATTCAAATGGACTACACATTTATAATTTGATAAAGTAAAATGTAGCTGACAGAATAAAAATGCATTCATGCATATATATAATTTATGGGTTCTATGTTATATACACTAATAAACAACTAAGCAAATTAATGGCTACTGTTTTTGATCAATGTTTTTATATAGCAGTATTTAAAATCAAAAGACATACATTTTATTTATTTATTTATTTATTTATTTATTTAGGTACTGGGGATCAAACTTGGGATCTTGCACTTGCGAGGCAGGCGGCGGAACCACTGAGCTAAATCCCTGGCCCAAGACATACATTTTAGATCTTATTCATTGGGCAGCTAGAAAAAGACTAGAGACTAGAAAAGATAAGACAATATAAACTTTGGAACTATATTCAAATGATATGAATATATCATACGGGATTTTCTGAGTGTAATATACAACTATTCACATGTATCCACAATAATTAAATATAAGGAGATGAAGAGTAAACATGGATAGAATATATACTTTAGATGCAATTGGGCACATTTGGATCTCATTATCTATGTGTTTTCTCTTGAGGAAATGATATTTATCTGAAAGGGTCACGCCATTGGCATGTTTTGAAATAATAAATTTGTATTTTTATTCTAAGAGTCAAATGAAATCACTGAAGAAAGATATAATTGCTATACATTTTTTTCTGGTTGTTTTTAGAGCAAATGGATGAGAGTTAGGTTAGGTGGCAACAGGAACAAAATTAGAAGCCAATTCCACTTATCCAAAATTAGAAGTTGGTAGCTCAAGCTAGTAGGTTAAAATGCACATAGAAAAAAAATTGAGATATATCCTGGAGGCCCTACTGTTGTTAATTGCGGGTAGACTGCCTGGTTATATGAATCAAAAGGATTAATTAAGGATAAATACATTTACTGAGCAACTGGGTGAATTTAGGGAGAGACTGAATTTGAAAATGTTTCAGGGGAAAATTCAAGAACATTACTCTGATATACCAATTTTAAGGAGACTGACATCTAAATGAAGTCATTAAATAGGCTACTTAATGTATGTCATTGAAGATCAAGTCAGTTTGGATATATTGGTATAAAATTTGGAATCATTACCAGTGAATAACATATATATAGTCATAGAACTAGATATGGTCAGTTAGGCAAATAGCATGAAAAATGAATGCAACAAAGACTAGAATCTAGTGTTAAGTAAGTACAATATTAGTTGTAAGAAAAAAAAAACAAAGGAGGAAAAAATGTAACGGATGGAGGGAGTAAAACCAGAAACTTTTGGTATTGGATACTCAGGGTAGAGAGTGTTTTTATGAGTGTTTGGATAATTATTTATTTTTATACTTCCAAATAATTACATGTTTTAGTTTGTTTCAGAAAGAAACAAATTATTATTGACTCTGAAAGAAGGTTCTTAAGCACCGCTGAACAAGTTTTAATCCATTTATGTTGATATCTAGTTATATATTTAAAAGCAACATCAGTCTGTGACATTTTTCTGGTCAGAGGTTATTTGACTCTATGGAAATGTTTCACTTTGAAATTACAACATGTAAAATTCAGAATATAGACAGTATGTTTAGTTTGATGATATTTTAACATAAGAATTCCTCCACATTATTGTCTTTACCTTGATTTCCCTTTTGAAAAAGTTTCTTATGAGACTTCCCAATCAAAATTTCTCCTCCTTCCAAGGAAACATTGCTTTGTTTTGTAAAATATTTTTCCGATTTGAGCATATAAATTAATATGTTTCTTATTGACCATTTTACTTTAAAGTAAAGTTTGTGAGATTTTTGTTCAGGAATTAGTTAAGATGGACACTTATTTTTCTTTGCATTTTGTTACACTGTATAAGTATGTCACTTTTATAGCTCCATTTTATTTTTGATGGAATTGTTTCCACTTTGAACATTATAAAATTGAATCTCAAATGTTTACTTTTTGGCTCATATATGAATTCATTTTATTTGATTTTATTAGTTATAAATTTAATATTTTCCTCTTTGTTTCATCAATTCCTTTTTTCATTTTTCTTCTTTTTTCTCTATGTGTGTAATATTTTACATTATCTGTTTTCTCTAATAAGCTTATTGTGATAGAAAACGAATTAGTTTGTCAAATAGGTATTCAGATTTTTCACCTAAGAAGAGGATTTGCTAATAATTTGAAAGATAAAAAGGATCTTTGGTCTTATGAGGATCAGACAGGTGTCTTGGACATTTCCACTCAGCCAATTCCTTCTTTTTCAGGATCTTGGTGTCAGTTTTGTAAGACTCTATGGAAGGGCTAAGTTCTAATTCGTGCTTCTGATATTCAGAGATTGAAGCAAACTTTAGCTGTCAGACTTCCTCTTTGCCTCTGTGGCCTTGTGATGTAAGTGCCCAGAGGTGGCATGAATAAACCCTGAAGTTATCTTTCTACTCTTTTC